TTTTTTTTTTTTTTTTTTTTTTTTTTTTTTTTTTTTTTCTGTACCTCTATTCTGGGGAGGGTCAGCACGGTTTCTTTTCCCACCACAGATCGATTCTCCTTTTTTTTTATTTTTCTTTGTTTGGACCATTTCTCGATTTATGCGTGTCATCCTTTAAAGCGCAGGGGTCATTTTACTAATTACCCTTCTCTGTATCGTTCCAATTTTAACGGATGTCCCAAAGGATTCAATTTTCCTTTTGTTTTATTCTAGTTTCTAACTTTTTCCAGCAGAAAAAAAAATAAAAAAATAATGTTGGTTACTAGATTAGAATTTAGAACCTATACACGACTTCCACAAAACGTATAATAATAAATGCGACGAATGGCGACGAAGCTGGTTGCTACTCTCCTATTAAGGCTAATAAAATAAATAGGCTGCGCAACCTAGAGCAGCGAAAAAAAGTAAAATTTGCTGCAAAAAATCCTGCTAATGGAGATATGTCATTCCTGTCAATGAAAACATAGTGATAGTCTAACAGACATTGTAATAGCTAAAAAAAATAGGATTTGCCAACGCTAACGCGGCTAAATCGGCTATACATTTTAAATATTTTTTGTGTAAAGCTAGAAGCCTAAAACTATTTCAAAATTCGAATACATTGATGCAATTTGATGGTCATTATTTCATAAATGAAAAAAAACACCTATTCGGGCAGGTATAGAATGAAAATTACAGAATATAATTCAATTCGATATGCCTAGCTCAGTTGGTGGAGCACGAAAACGCCATTGAGGAGGTCGTGGCTTCAACTCCCCATGTCTTGCATTCGAATCCCCACGGGCTCTTCCGGCATGCTACATGTTCACCGGCTGAGATAGTCGGCTTGCCCCCTCCTGGTTGGTCTTGGTAGGGGCTATATTCCTTGTGTCCCTTCCATCCCTCGCAGGGGGGGGGTAGGACCAACCCTAAAAAAATAGACTCCTTGGATTACCCCGCTGTGCTTTGACATGGGTGGAGGGTAGTGCTAAGATGAATAGGTAGGTAGGTAGTGTGAGGTATAATTCAGAGAAGAATATATAGCTTGCTTAGAGAAAAAAAAAAAAAAAGTAAATGAAAAAGTGAAAAAAAAATCACTCCTTTGGTACATCCATTAAAATTGGAACGATGCAGAAAAAGAAGATTAGCGTGGCCTCTGTGCAAGGATGACATGCATAAATGAAAAAAAAAAAAGAAAAAAAAGCAGTCTGGTGCGTTCCTCATTTAAGGCCAAGGCGAACCACTGACAGTATATTGGGACTACACTCCTGTACGGCCAGCCAACTGAATCTAGCCCAGTCTTTAGACCATATCCATACCGATCATATGCTTCCCTGGAGTGTCTTTTTTTTTAATTGGACCATATCCATACCGATCATATGCTTCCGTGGAGTGTCTTTTTTTTTAATTGTCTGTATGACATTGGAAATTAGTAAATTACAAAGTGAATTCGTTTTCCCGTGAAATTCCGTCGATTTTTGTTTTCAATCCAGCTGTCCTTGAGGATGTCCACATTGCTGTACTAGTTTATTGAACTTTATTCTTTCATATATTTAAAAATAAAATAGAATAATTATTGAGGTTTACGGCAACTGGTTGCTCGCGCAAGAATGGCAACTTGGGTATTGTTCATCGTGTCTGCAACTTGCATGTTGGTAATCTGCTTGGGACTCCTGCTTGAGGCTTTCATGTATGTCCAGGTTCAGATACCTGGGATTCCTATGTTGCCTTCCATTGGGTGGTTGCCGATGTGAAAAAAAAAAAAAAAAAAAAAAAAAAAAAAAAAAAAAAAAAAAAAAAAAAAAAAAAAAAAAAAAAAAAAAAAAAACCCAGCGAGAACCAAGTCAAGTCCGGAGATGCCTGAGATCGCTCTGTCGTGCTGGGTGTCAATTAAAAAAGGGTCGAAACATCTACACAAGATCTGTGTTCGGGAAAAAAAAAAAAAACAAAAAAAAAAAAACGAGTTTTGTTTGAAGTTTGAAGCCCAGACTGATCAGGAGTAGGGTTTACGCCCCTGACGTCTTGTGAAACAGGTCATCCAGGTGTCACTGCACTTCCTTGTTGAGGCCGTAGAGTTCGTGGGACTATGATTACTTACGACTCATGGATGGATGGATGCACGTATGGATGGATGGATGTACGTATGGATGGGTGGATGTGTGAATGGATGGATGAATGGATAGAAATGCACCCCAAAAAAAAAAAACCGAAAAAGTGGTGGTCCTCCTTGGACTGGCAACATGGCAGAATTGCCTGTATACTCCCAATTGTCAGCCGTTTGTTTCATATCCCATTACTCATTTCATCCAGCTGATGAGTCCTCTGTTTAGGACAGATGAATGATTGTGTGCATGAGGGCTTGAGCGATGACTGGAGATAGCATTAGTGATTGAATGGGAAGAGAGAGGGGAAGGAAACAGTGGGGTGGGAAGAGAGAGAGGGCGGGCTGGAAACTGCTGATGTGTGTGTTCAAAAGAGAGAGAGAGAGAGAGAGAGAGAGAGAGAGAGAGAGAGAGAGAGAGAGAGGAATGCATACTTGGTCGTTGAAAAGGCTTGGAGGAGACTCGCTACTTGGTGACCGTCTGGAGTCCGGTTCATTGCACTGTGCTGCACAGTTTTGTGTGTGGGCGTGTTCAGCTCGTGAGTAATTGAGCTAGATCGATTTTGCGAGACAGGCAAAATTTTAAATGCAGAGCAGAGCTGTGGACTGGAGAGGGATGAGGGAAAAGGGAAACTTAGTGTGTGCCCCGTTTTATGGCAAACAAATGCAGGACAATGATGGAAAGAAAAGACCAGTGTGTAAGTCTTAAAAAAAAAAAAAAAAAAAAAAAAAGACCAGTGTGTAGTCTTCGCCCTCAACTGTCCGTGAACTAATTTTCCTAATGGAGTAAATTGGACGGGAATCCAGAAGACCGTGTTGTCGGATGACAAAACCCTAAACCCTCTTAAAGGAAACTTTATGAAGCGCAATCCCTAATGGAAACCCTAACTGCAGACCCCTGAAACTGACATCTCAAAACACCAAACCGTACCCCCCCCTAAACCCTGAACCCTGAGTTCGGAACCCTTTGTCAGAAGCCCTAAAATGCTAAAATCCTAAAACCGTAACCCCCTAAAGGGCCTAAACCAGACCGTAACCCCCCAAACCAAACCGTAACCCTCTAAAGGGCCTAAACCAGACCGTAACCCCCCAAACCAAACCGTAACCCCCTACAAAGTCACTGTAACACTGTTTTTTGGGTTTTAGCATTTTAGGGCTTCTGGCAAAGGCTTCAGTGCTCAGGGTTCAGGGTTTATGGGGGGTACGGTTTGGTGTTTTGTAGGGGTAGTTTTTCGCCTGTGTAGGGGTAGAACCGTAGAAGCCCTCAAATGCTATTAACTTAACACCAGTGTTACGGTGACGAAAAAGCCAATGGGCTAGCATGCGTGGACAATTCTCCTGTGTAGCCAGCTTATGATTGATTAGAACCACAGAGTAAATACTTAGCTATAGTTGGACTTTGTTGCCCTATTGCTGAACTTTGAAAGCGTTAGTTGTGCCCTATTGCTGGACTTTGTAGGGATAGTTTCCCCCCCTACTGGTGGGATTTAAACCACTAGTTCCGCCGACCCTGTTTTTGCCGAGCCTGAATTTCACTGCGCTCCGAGTTTTGCTGAGCCGGAGTCCCACTCCATTTTCTTTTCTCGTACTCTCAAGGAAACCCCCCCAAAAAAAGAAGAATAAGAAAAGTCGCGGCCGTGAAACTAAAAAAAGCAGCGGGGGGAAAAAAAGAATCAAAGCTTTGGCCGTGAAATGCAGTTGTATATATTCTTGGACGTGGTAGAGTGAGTGTGCCCTCAGTGGGGGCCGTCTCAGCCCCGTGGCCAGAGTGTCGGATTCCAGAAAGACAGAAAAAAAAAAAGGAAACATGGATTCAGCCGTGAACATGGCTGGTTACATTCCTCGAAGGGCCAGTGTGATCACAGTTACAATCCTCTATGGAAACAGAGCTTGAGCAGATCATGGATTCTGCCCTGCCTTGCTGCCAGGGGACTCGTAAAAACAAGAAAAGAAAGGAAAAAAAAAGAAAATGACAACAGCCACAATCTGACCCCGTTTAGCTGTAAGATTCATTCTGTGGAGGGACTACTGCGAGCACGGCCTCGTAGGCTACCCTGCCCGACATCATTGCAGTAGAGAAAGTATCTTCTTCTTCTTCTTCTTCTTCTTCTTCTTTTTTTTTTTTTTTTTTTTTTGGTTCACGCTTGGGCCATATAAAACTAAACTTTATTCTTCTTGCTGAGCCTCAGGGACCTCCGAACTTTTCGGGAAAAATGGGAAAACGCCGGCCAGTTTTCCCTAATTAGTAATTTCCCAAGACTGGTGGAGGTACTGGTGGTTTAAAGGGGTAATTTTTTTCCTTGCTGCCGAACTTTCTAGGGGTGGTTTTGCCCTATTGCTGAACTTTGTTAGGGTTAGTTGCGCCCTATTGCTGGACTTTGTAGGGGTAGTTTTTCCCTACTGCTGGGCTTTAAAGGCGTATGTTTTTTTTCCGTACTGCCGAACTTTCCAGGGGTAGTTCTGCCCTATTGCTGAACTTTGTAGGGGCAGTTTTTCCCAATTGCTGGACTTTGTATGGGTGGTATTCCCCTAACAGAAACTAGGCCCTTACGCTGTAATAACATGCTTGTCTGATGGCATACTATACTGGCATACAATGGAGCGGAACTGTAGTGCAAATATGACAAAACAAGGGTCGAACGTCAAGTCAAAAGTCAAACTTGACCTTATTTTTAAAAGAAGAAGAAGAAGGGAAAAAAAATAAAAAATCATGAATTTTCATCATGTTTGTAAGGCACTCACTCAAGGAAGTAGCATGACATCAGGTTAAAAATTGGAGCGATAACCATTGGGCCTAGCTCCGTTGGTACACCCACGAACTGTTGAAATATGAATCAGACCCAAGTTCGAATCCAGATACAATCAGATGAACAGAATAAAATCATTCGGAGTTACCTGGGGCTGGTCAGTTCAATGATGATTCATATCAAGGTTGTGGCCCTTTGAAAAAGAAAAATAGACGAGGAAAATTGGGGCGGTACACACAAGACTAGCATGATCCCTGCGCAAGGATGACTTCGACGCGTTGACAACTTGATTGAATGGGGTCCCAAAAAGGCAAAAAGGGTCCTTTGCGACAACCACTAAAATTGGAACGACACGGAGAAGATTCGCATGGCCCCTATGCGGGGATGACAGACATAAATCGACAAATGGTCCTCTTCATGCGCCCCCCCCCCCCCCCCCCCCCCCACCCCCCGGAAAAAGAAAGCTTGACATCAGGCAATAATTGTGCCATTTCTGAGAAAATGTTTTGATAGATCCATGTGGCATGTCATTGGGAAACGTAAGGAATCATTCCTCTTCTAAAGCCTCACGTCCGACAACCCTAATAGAACGAACACCAAAAGTGATGACCATTTTCTGTTCGTGATGGCCATGTGGCACTCGAGGGAATCCATGGTCCATTGCGGCGCCTAATGTATGGTCATCCTTATCTTCCCCCATTCAAGTGGCTTATCTATCCTAACTATCCATAATTATTAATAAAATAATAATAATTAAATTAAATTAATGATTAATGATTAATGATTAATTATCCTAATCAAGTGTGTCATTGATGATCTCCTCAACAATTTGGTGTCAAGCCGTTGCAGACCGCTTTCCCAGAATCTGCGAATTTGAAATATGCCTTTTGTCTCTCTGCCGGAGTTACAAAGCTAACCAGGTCATTGGGGCTGTCCCTTTTTTTTTTTTTTTTTTTTTTTTTTTTGTTGTTGTTGTCCGGACCATTTCTCACTTTATGAGTGCCATCCTTGAAAGCGCAGGGGCCATACTAATCTTCATTCTCTGTATCATTTCAAATTTAACGGATGTCCCAAAACCTGTTGTAGTTCTTGAACTTTTTTTTGCGTGGTATGATTTAACAAATTACGACAAACGGCCGTCGCATTCTCTGGCTTGGTCACCGTTGATATTTCACAAGATCGTTTTTCCGCAATTGCGTTTCTCGACGTTCTTCTTGTAAATACTACGTGGTTTTACGTACTACTGTTGAGTTAGAGTTGCTCCGTGCTGTGCCATGATGATATTCTTGCTCTTGCTTTGTTTTGAATCATGGTTTTAGACCTGGCCGTGCGTGCTGAAAGGGTTGTCGTTTTTTTTTGTTTTTTTTTTTTCCTGCGGTGTAGTGGTGGCTAGGTGGTCAGCCGTTGCAGATTTTTTTTGGAAAATGGTATGCGGGTAATTTGTTCTGATAGGCTTGTCTACGGAATGATCTACGATTACGGCCCGTTGTCCCCCGAACATAACGCATATGTGTTGTAAGGAAATACAACGCAGAGGTTGCTTTTTCCTATTCAAGTACAACGCGTATGTGTTCTCTTCGAACAGCCCTAACTTGCGAATACAACGCATATGCGTTCTATTCGAACAGCCCTAACTTTTGAATACGATGCATATATGCGTTCTATTAGAATTTCTGAAAACTTAGAACGCATATGCGTGTTATGTTTTCGGGGGAAGACGGGCAGGGATAGCTACTGCACATTCGTTGTTCTTGTAGGACTGGTGTGCTGACATAGGCTTCTGAGATTTGTATGCCTTGGTATGCCGCGACCTGAGTTCTGCCTGGCCGGAGTGCCTCTCTCAGCTCATACGGCTGTGGACTGTATGTGAGGTACGCTGGGCCCCGTTTCCCGGCTTATAATGAAGGTTCCCCTTTAAAAAAAAAAAAAAAAAACAATAAAAAGAGCCGTCTCAGAAACTGAGGTATCTTTTGTGCGCTCTTACAGATGGAAGGTGTGAGGTTGTTCACCCGTGCGGATTGGGAGGCTGCAGGGATGGACGGAATAGCCATGGCAGAGAAAGATCTGAAGGAGACACTGGAGGGACTAGCACAACGACTCTTCGGTGAGTATTGTTCTAAATTTCGGGGGGTAAACGCTTGATTTGCTCTGTTCCATTCACAAAATTCCATGGATTTTTTTTTTTTTTTTTTTTTTTTTGGTGGAAGTTAAGGCCTGTGCGAGGATTTAGATCCTCGGCAGTGTCTGAAAGATGTCGTGCCCGCCTTAAGTGAAGGCGGGCCTGCAAATATGTGCCAATGCTTGTTTATAGGCCTATGAGACCAGGTTGAAGGGCCCAAGCAGAGCCTGTTGGAACCCCTATGTGGGCATGGATCTTTGGTGAGGCCTTGCTATGAGTTTGCTTCTCTACATGCCCCTGGAGGGCCCTTTCAGAGAGCATGAGCCCACCCTAAGTGAAGGCGGGCCCCTGAATTTCCATATGGCCGGAGTTCGTCAATTTTGGCTAAGTTTGGTGGGCGCCAGACAGTTGCCATGCGTCAATTTTGCCTAAGTGAAGGTGGTTACGTCCTCCACACTCGTGAGGATCAGAAATAATTCTTGGGCCTTCTAGGCTCTTCCAGCAGCACAGGCGAAGCAGGGAGAACCTCACGTTTACTCCTGGGTGGTTAGGCAGGCTCAACCAATTCGGTCCCAGGCCACTGTCTGAATGGGCCTGGGCGCAGACACTTTGGCCCGATTGGAAGCTACTGGAAATACTGGAAATACACGAGGCCCAGCGAGGGAGCAGACTGGGCGAGCACTTTCCATATAGGAAAGAGCTCGCCACTGGTGGAGGCATTCGGGCACGAGGCAGTGCATGCGGCAGTGCTGCTTGAGCGTGCGCTCGCTGGCTGCGCGCTGGGCACTAGCGCTAGTTGCCAGGCAGTGCGCGCGGGCGCTGGAAGAAGGCAGGGCGCTGCTGAGGGCAGCGCCATATCCAGCCCTGCATAGCCAGGGCTTGGCTTGGACAGTCAGTGGAGGTGGTGGTTTTCTTCGTGCATAAGCGAAAAGAGTTGGGAGGAAGACAAGGATAGGGAGAGAGTGAAAGAGATGAGGATGATGATGTGAGGGCACATGCCTAGTATTGGCGATGGTCTGCATTGGTCGACATCTTCAAGTACTTCGGTGGCTGCTGACGTCAACAGTTGCATTGTCAATTTATAGGCAGGAAGTAGTTGTGTAGGATGTAGCCTGGGCGTCAAGCGCCAAGTAGGGAGAGAGGGCCTGGATATGTATGTTGGTGGGGACGAGAGTAAAGCTCTCATTGGCATTCCGTTTCAGTGTTTCGATTCTCCATTGGTGTCATATTGGTGCAATGCTGCTTATCTGGACACTGTGGGACTGTCTTGCTTTCAATGTGATTGTGCTATCTGGATTCTGTCATCTCGCTATCTCTCATTTTCGTTGCACCTGTCAACTCCAAAATCTGGGCACTTACCTCAGCTTCTTCGTTTGCCTAACCTCTTCTGAGACTTTTCTTCTCGTTTGTGCACAAGCCGAGGGAAGTTCTCTTTTTTGCAAGTTTTTGGCTTCATTAGAGTTCAAAAGTTACTTGGTGAGGGGGAAGAGAAGGAAGTTTCTCTGTCTCTGTCTCTCTCTCTCTCTGTCTCTCTCTCTCTCTCTCTCTCTCTCTCTCTCTCTCTCTCTCTCTCTCTCTCTCTCTCTCTCTCT